GACAAACGGTAGATACATGAGGGGGGGGGTACCATATATATATATATATATATATATATATTCTGTCTCTCTCACACACACACACGTCAGGTAAAGGAGTTGAAGAGCACATGACGGTTACATCTCGGAGCCCTGCTCCGCTGGGAACGACCACAGGTCAAGCCTGGCTATGCTGTGCTGTGCTATACTGTACTAGACTAGACTAACCTAGGCTAGACTATGCTAGACTATACTAGACTATTAGATACTATACTACATTATACTATACACCACACTACGTTGCACTCTCCTACTCCAAGCTACTGTATCCTATCCTATACTATACCACACTATGCCACAATATGCTACGCTACACTACAGTAGTTAAACTATACCATGGTCAGATCTCAAGGCTTCTAAGCAGCATCAGTCAGAGGACGATAGGATAGCATAGTATAGTGTAGTGTAGCGTATAGTATAGTACCGTATAGTATTCAAGCAACTACTCAAACAGTACAATAAGTAGTACAGTAAATTGTATAGTACATATTGTAGCAAATAGCGTAGTAAATAGTATGGTATGGCATGGCATGGTAAAGACTGGTGTGGCTTGGTCTGGTTGGGGTGTAGTACAGCCTAGTATTGTTCTCAATGCCCTTCATGACGGCAAGGCTCGAAGATGGGAGTGGGCTGTGGAAGCTTTGCAGAGCCCCGACTTGCAGATATGTGGTTGAGGCTTCCGGGGCTTTTTTTAATCATCCCATAGTTTGCGGCCGATCAGTTCGAAATATTCTCCGAGCTCCTCGCATCATGTGCAAAAGCCTTCTAGACGACGGTTAGGCGCTGTACAATTTGTTGATTTCGTTGGATTGTTGCAATATGGCGGTTTTACCATCCTGATTCGCAGTTCTACTTGCTAGTTGTTATTTCGTGGGACGAGCGGTAACGATTGGTAGGCCTGCGCCCCGTGCCTGCACCGAACACGTCCCAAACCACGGCCCTGCGTCTTGCAGTGTTGCTCCAGGGTCTTGTTGTTGGTTGGCGGTGCGCCTGTGTGGTGTGTGGGTTATTGCAGGGTTCGCCTACAAAGGCCCTCCCTTCAGTGTTTTCTTTGCTGCAGTTGTTCACTGCAGCTGATGGGTCAATGCAGCTGCTGGACGGTTGGTGTGCTGTTCCAACCCGCCCGAATTCATTCTGAGGGTTTGTGATGCCTCCCCCTTTTGGCCTGGCAGCTGTCTGTGGCCCAGGGTTGACTCGTGCGCGATCCATTAAAAAGTGTGTGCTGCAGTATAAGGCCTGGTTTTGACGTATTGTATCAAGTCGTCCACACTACTTAAACCGTTGCCTTTCATCGCACTCGAAGTCAGAGTACCATTCTGTAACAACTTTCCAGCGGCTCGTTTCGGTCAGCTACTCGCAGTTCATGGTTGGAGGTGAAAGGTTGGCTGCTTGCAAGTCATCCTTGCGCGGATGCGCCTTGAACCCTCATCGAAACCAGTAAGCCCTAAAAGCGACCTGCTCGAAACATCTCGAGACCGAAGCCCCAGGAGCCCAAAAACCAAAGCTGCATCCCAGGCGCGCAGCAGTGGCCTCCCTCGTGCCTGATGTTGTCCGGGGGCCCATCGGGAGATGGGGTTTTGGGGCTTAGGGTTTAGGGATCCCCGAAGCCAAGTTGAGGTATGGAATCATGATCAAGCGGCTAAATCTGTGAAGGACTCTTATAAGAGCCTTTCTACCGTATCCTAAACCCTGCTCTGCAGGTGTGTTGGCAGTTGTTTGCGGTTGAAATATGCCTGCCAAAGCCCACGACGGATGTCAAAACCTTGCTTCTAAGGTGCTTTACAGACATATTTGTGCTGATGGTCAAGATGATGATGTTCATATGACTATGAGTGAGTATTATGGTAGCTGCCAGCCCTCATAGAATCAAGCCCAAACCTTGGAGGCGGTTGCCTCCAGCCATGTCCTTAAGCCGTGCTTCCGGTCTGCAGCTTTTGTTGCCGCCGAAATTGAACCCAGAAGGCAAGCACAACAAGTTCAGGATTTAGGACATTTGGGACTTTGGTGCTAGTCTAAACCTTGCTCTTCAAGCACCGAGGCGCCGAGGAGAATGCTAGGTTTTTGTGTGGTGGCTTTTGCATGGAAGAGGGTCCCAGAGGCCCTGTATTGGAGGGAGGCACGGCGCTCGAGCGGAGGCAAGTTTTGAGGAAGTATCGATGCAGATGTTTGAGCTCTCTGAGTGCATTGCTTTTGGGTTTGAGCTTCTTGTAAGTAGCAGTTGCATCTGCGACCCCAGGCCACCGCAGCTGTGGATTCTTGAAAGAGCAGCCTCCTTTTGCGTGCCCATGATGGCGCTTCGCCTAGCGGCCAGACCCTCGCCGGCAGCGCAGCAGGCCCCTTCGACCGTTACCAAAGGTTTAAGGTAGTTCGGTGTATGATGCTCAGGAAGATGTTGGTGGTGGTGGCTGCTATTTCTTGCTTTCTGTTCTTTTGACTTCTCAGTGTCGCTGTCTCTTGTTGTTTAATTCTGAAACCTAGATAAGATGCTACTGCATAAAACGAGCAAATTTGAATGCAGTGTCCAAGACGATTCAACAGTCAAAGCTCTGAGCTACAGTAGAACTGTTCCGGTGCTGCTGCAGCTGCCGGGGTTGTTGCCCTGTTTCGCGACACGACAACGGTTGTCGACCGGAAACAAGCACTAGAGAGAGAGAGAGAGAGAGAGAGAGAGAGACGCAGCGAGCATAAAGGGGGTGCCGACAGCTGCATTGCAACTCTTCGTGGCAGCAATGGCGCCGGCAGGAGTCGCTACGGCCAGCCGTAGAAGCAGCGATAGAAACCGCTGAAGCTGAAATTGTCTTGTCATTCTGGTGACCCCGTCGCAGCTGTCACCACAAATTTGGTTTCGTCCTTGGCTTTAACGTCATAAAACGCACTTTGGTCATTGGTAGCTGTCACTGGTTCTGTCAGGCGGCCTTGCACTCCTTGGTGCGGCATCCGCCGACAAGCTCCCTGCCAATTTGCAATGCCACTTCCTCGCGTTCTGCGCCCTGACCATAGCTCGTCGAGTTGCAGGATAGTAATCGTAAGCTGCCTTGCGGAACATGTGCAAGAGGTCTAAGCAAGAAGGTGATGAGGTGTACCAGTCCAGACAGTTATTTACGCCGTTGTATTTTCCAGAGTTCCGCAAACCCTGAACACGGCTCGAAGAGCATTTGGAAGCTCGGAAAGTTATGCCCCGCCTGCAAAAGCGATGACAGCTGAGTGTTCTGTTGCAGAGCTTGCAGACAAGTTCGAAGTTTATCGCCATCATCCGATCGCGAAAGAGGTGCCGCCATCCCGCAGCCGCTGCAGTGGGTAGATACACCATTTTCTTTCCTTTTCGCGTCCTGCAGCGCATTCTTGGGATGGCCCAGCGTCCATCCAATCTTGCCCTTGCTGGGGCAGCCGCAGGCGAGCTGTACACTGGATGGTTCCTTGGGCTAAGGGCATTGTTCGTGGCCCAACGCCGCAACACATGCATGTTCATCCCGCTCTGTTCCTTTCTCAATGCAAGCAGCCGCCTGAAGGAAGCCATGACACGAAGGCTGTTTGCTAAGCCCACACTGGCTTGTTAAGACTGTCGCTAATGCCTTTCACCATTTTTCACCCTTGCGGGTTGACCATCCGCCTCAGTGACTTGACTAGGCAGCACCCGATCAGAATTTCGGACCTGACTTTAATTACACCGAACTCGCCCGCAAATTGCACCGAAAAACCGTAATCGTCAGCAATACCTGAAGCAGTTGCAAAAGATGTTTAAGTTCCAGGTTAGGTGGCGTCCATAATTCGGAAGCTCGCGTGTGCCCGCGGAGCCCACACCCTGAAGCCTAAAGCCTAACACCGCTCCAGCCGGTCCACAGAGAGGTGGAGGCGGTGTGCGAAAAACCGTGGGGAAGGGAGGAAGGGGTCGGCGGATGTTGGCACATGCAAAGCCCAAGCCTCTGCCGGAAGGTGGTCTGGCACTTCTGGGCTCTGCCACCGCCTTCGTCGCCGCTCCACAGGAGGCGCCCGTAAGCTCTGAACGACAGAAGCTGGTCAGTCTATGTCAGTCTATCCCAAAACGATGCCCCATTCCAGCCCGAAACCTCCACAACATCTTCTCGTTCGAAACCCAGGCGTAAAGAGAACAAGAGGTGATATACCCTCAAAGAGACTTCTTCAGCTGTCAAGGTCTATTGCAGAGGATTCTGCAACAGACCATCCAATACTTACGCAGTCTATGCATCATGGAGATAGATGAGCGAAAACAGTTGGAGCAAACTGAGCCCCATACCCTCATCGTCGGCCTTAAGTCCCGTAGCCTCCGCGGGCGAAGGCCAGCGCACCGAGCCTGCGCGGCGCTTCCGTGGCCCAGTCTCAGGCTTGATCGGGCCGGTTTCTGATGGTTCCTCTGCTTCTGTGCAAGGCTCTTCAGCGTGCTTGCAGATGCTACAGCTATTGGAACCCCTTGAACCTCCGACTGCTACTACTACTACTACTACTACTACTACTACCACTACCACTACCGCTATTGCTACTGCTACTGCTGCTGCCGTACTGGCAATTATTGTTGCTGTGGACAAGGGGACTCAAAAAAGGCCCCCAGGAAGCTCAGCCCTTCACAGAGTCGCGAGGCCCAGGCGGCGGCTTCGGGAAGCTCTCTCTCCGCTCCGTGGCCTTCAAGCTTTGGGTTGTCCCGTTGCGTCATTCTGTCACCTGCCGCCACGCAAACCGGCAGGGCTTCATGAACTGTCGCTGTCTTGGCTACGACGGGAAAATCAACACACGGGAAAAGATTCATAGGACCGGAACGTCTGCTGTCCATGAGCCACGGCCAAACCATTGCAAATTTTGGCAGCAGTTTCCAGCACGGTGAGACACGCGAGACACTCGAGACTACTTCATCATTGATGTGTGACTTACAGCACCATTGAGGCTCTCGCCGCCGGTGGCGCGGTTGCTGCGGCAGCAGTGGCTGCCAGTCGCCCAGGCGAGCCTTCCAACTGGTCGACCTCGGATTTGTTGTAAGATTGTTTGGGCTTACATCTGAGATCATGTGGTAAAGAGTCAGTAGTAACAGCAACGGCTACGGCAACGGCAACATCAACGGCAACAGCAACAACCACAACAACAACAACGGCAGCAACAACAACAAGAACAACGACCGCAACCACCGCCACAGCCGCAACCACAACCACAACTTCAACCACAACCGCAACCACAAGCACAATCACAACCACGACCACGACCACGACCACGACAAATACAGCAGCCACGATACCCACAAAAACCACAATGATAACGACCTCGCCAAACTCAACATCGTGACCAAAACAATGTGCAGTCATATTCAGTCGATGCTCAGTGTGATGGTGATGGTGTCAGGGAATTGTTGCAGTGGCAGTAATGGTTAGGACTGTGGTGATGTACGATGCTGGTCAGATGATGATGCCGACGATGATGATCATAGTAATGTATGCATATGTATGCTTGGTGCACAAAGTCAACAGAGCCGCATAAGCAAGCAAGCGAGCCGCACAAACATTTGGCGGTGATGATTGTTTTGACCATGGTGTTGTTGACGAGCACCACACCGGCTTGTGTTTGTTGTTCTCAAGACTGTCAGTGTGGTCGTGGAACATCGACAGTGCAAACTCATGGCCCAAAGCACACCACGCCATTGCCCTGCAACGCTCCCGCACTCTCGCCCCAAAACAACACAGTCACAGTGCAACACGCCCTTGGTGGGTTTGCGGCTTTGGGTTATGAGGGTGCCGGCTTTACGGCTTTAAGGTTTCTCGAAGCCCCATGCTATAATCAAGCCGCGAATCTGAAAGGACGCCAGACCCGCAGCACCATCCTCCCTACAACCGTGGTGCCAGTGAAGGCATGAAGGGCTTTGCTACCCGACGGTTTCAGCACGAGCAACTCCTGAGCAACCTCCGTTGCCGCAGCATGTGTCACGCACGTTACGCTTTTAGCTATACGGCTAGCAACTGGGCCCAGGCAGTGTTGCGTTCCATTCCCTGCAGGAGAGCCGGGTGACACGCAAGGCATTGGACCAGTCCAGCCGATACGCAGACCTGTCCCTCGATGAGGCCACCCTTATCAAGAGACTCAGCTACAAGGTGGAACTTCCATGTAACCTTCGTCCGGTTTAATTTCTGCTGTCGCGAGGAACGGCAAGCACGTGCTGGTCGCATACATCATGAAGCCCAAGGCGGGCTACGACTACCTGGCCACCGCCGCTCACTTCGCGGCTGAGTCCTCCACCGGCACCAACGTGAACGTGTGCACCACCGACGACTTCACAAAGTCCGTGGATGCGCTGGTCTACTATATCGACCCTGATAGCGAGGAGATGAAGCTCGCCTACCCCAACCTGCTGTTCGACCGCAACATCATCGATGGCCGCGCCATGATGTGCTCCTTCCTGACCCTGAC